AGGTTTTTTGGATCCAAAGTTGACCCTGGTAGTAGAAGAAAACTTGGCCTCGTTTGGGAGCAATTTTGAAAATTGATTTTTTTTACCGTTAGAAGAAAAGTGGAGGCCATCTGTGAAAGAAGAAGTCAAACTTTACGACTAGAATAGTAAAATAACGGTCAAAAAATCAATTTTTGAGAGAAAAAATCTCTCCCAAACACCCCTTGGTATATCTTAGAGTATAATAAGAGAATTTAATTTAGCCCGTGCTTGGTCTTCATTTTAATTAGATTTTAAGAAAAAATATATTCTAGAATAATAATTTTTGGGATTATGTGAAAAAAAAAAAGAAAAGTTTTGAGTTTACATGTAACATTATTTTATTGAAAAATATGTGCTTTATAAGAAGAGAGAAAAAAGTGAATTATACTTTTTAATCGAGCCCAAACACGAGCTTAATTGAAGAAAGATATTTAAAACGATCGAAATTCAAAACATATATTGTAAAATGATAATTTGGACAAAAGTAAACAAGCAAACGCTGTTGGGTTTTTTTATACCCAATAAATTCCAGGTTATGATGTTAACGTGGGTTAATCTTATTTCATAGACATAGGCCGATGAATGAAATAAGTCCAATAATCAAGTCCATGAGTTACACCCAACCCAATTGTATTCCTTTATGGATGGCTTGAATCTTGGCCCATTTACCCCTTTAATGGTCCAACATAAAGCCTAACCCTAGAGTACATATATGGCTATTATTCTAGTCACTTTCTTATGATGTATTGTGTGATTTTGAGAGAATAAAAAGAGAATCCCGACTGCCCCCTTTTGTGTGAGAAAAAAGGCTTCAAAAGTGTCCAGAATGCTTGTATAACGTATGCAATTAATGGTTCCTCCATAGTATACCTTTGTGGCCACAAATTATCATCATTTCTTGTCCTACGTGAGTAAGAGTGAATAGCAACCAAGGTAAATCAATTGGTTGTGGTTTGGAGCCGATTCTACTGGTTGTTGGTTGAGAAAGGTGCGTTGGACTGAGCCCGAAAATCATCGATTTGAAGATCTTTCAAGAAAGCTTCTGCAACAATTGGTATCAGAGCTTCAAGGTGGTGATTTTGGCTCGTGAAACTTACCAAAAACGTCCAGAAATCACAGTAGAAATCAGATCGAAGAAGCTGTCCAAAAACTGTCAAAATCAGTCTCCATTTTTCACGTTTTCTGATCAATCCAGAAGGAGTTTAAGGAAATTGAGACCACTAGCTTGACGTGCAGGAGGAGGTGCACCCTGCAGGAAGGCGCGTGGCAGTCAACTCCGATGCATGTAGCCCACGCGCAGAGAGGAGGATACGCGCGTGAGGGCGCGGGAGGGGAAATTTCGAGGTCCCTTTAGGCAGTTTGTTCCTCATATTATTTCTGACATTTTTCGTGCTGAAAGCTTTCTGTTTCATGGTACACAGTAGAATCTGGACAGCATTCTTCTTCGGGCGTTCAAGACTCGATCGTGATTTTTTTTTTTTGGTTGCAGTTTCCAAAGACTTTAGGGTGGTCCTAAAGTGATAAATTCGCAACTCTCGTAATTTACGGATTCAAATAGGTCCACTCTGGTATATTGGCTTAACTCAGTTTAAATTTCAGCATTAGCACATCATCGTGTGGGGTGATCGTTAGGATTGGGGGTTGTCATACACTTCAATTATTTTACACCTGTCTGATACTGTTTTGAGAAAAGTAGAAAAATTGGATTCTACAAAACGACTTTGGGAAAAGTTGGAGGACTTATATTTGCTTAAATCAACTCCTAATAAATTGTACTTGTTTGAACGATTTTTCAGCTTCAAAATGGATCCTTCAAAATATTTTGATGACAATATGGATGTCTTTAACAAGTTAGTTCAAGACATCGTTAATTGTGATGAAAATGTATTTGAAACGTATAAGGCTATTATCCTGCTTAATTCCATACCTGATTCATATAGGGAAGTTAAGAATGCAATTAAGTACGGTAGGGACACCTTAACACCCGAGATCGTCATAGACTCACTTAGAAATAAGGAGATGGAGATTAAGGCTGAAAAAGAGGATAAGAGGAGTGGCGAGTTACATATGATGAGAAGTGGGATGAAGTTTAACCAAATGAATTTGGGTAGAACTCAAGACGGTAGTAATTCGAGTAGTGACTCGAGTGATGATAGTAGTAAGAAGAAAGGCAAGGGACGAGACAAGTCTAGTGGTAGAAGGTATTACAGTTGTAGTAAGTCTGGACACTTTAATAGGGACTGTCCCAATAAGAAAGTGAAGCTGAAAGGCAAGATGAGATGTGAGACGAATTTGGTTGAGGGGTCGAGTTATGACCCCAGTGAGATTTATTAAGTGTAAACCTAGTCACTGCATATACATCTGTGTGTGATCTTTTTCTGCATGTGTGTGATTGTCTAAATTTTGTTGCATAATTATCTGCCACATCTCAATGTGTTTAATATGTGCATTTGCATGAATTTGAGACATTAGAATTATTTGGTGTAATTGCTTGCACACATGGATGCATTAGCAGTGTGTTGTGTGTTTTTTGGTAAGGTGGAGTATAGATGTCTAGGGGTACATGGTGGTCCGTACTGGGGATGTGGAGTGTGACATTTGGATCACAAGTGGAAATGTGATCAAATGTCTAGAATCATTTATCTGGAAAGAGACCTTGATCAGGTGGAGTGTGAGAGAGGCACTTCTATCACTTTTGTTAAGTGGAGACTCATTATTCACGTAGGTTGGGAGAAGTGATGTGGAGATAGAGGATTATTCCGTGGACTTAGGATCTATTGTGACTTGTCAGTTAGACATGAGTTGAGTGATCTGTCTAGTGAGTTTGGTAGGCGATGAGAGGAGATATGTGCTCTCGAGGTGTGAGCAATACGGAATGGGATAGGATAAGTTTGGTGAGATCTTTTCTTAGGGCCATTTATGCATGTGTTGCATATGTGGTTGACCGTGGTTTGATTGACTTGGTGTTAATCTATGATTCTATGTGAACGTGTTTCTGAAAAGATCTGTGTGTGTTATCCTATAGTATATTGTCATCGCACGTGTATTTGCTCTTGATTGTTTACTGTTAAATATCTACTTCTACTTTGGTGTTTTTACCTTAGCCCCAGTGAGTACATGGAGTAGGTATGATATGTGTTTCAAGTTGGAAACACGAGGTAAGGTATGTGATCCAATTTTATTGGCTACCTTGATTATGCAAGTGCTAACTGCGTGTTTTGATTGCTTGCAGATTTATTGGGTATCAAGGTGGAGATTTGTTAGGTTTTTTGATACCTAATAAATCTCGGGCTATGATTTTAACATGGGTTAATATTATTTTATAGGCATAGGTCAATGAATGAAATAAATCCAACAACCAAGTCCATGAGCTACACCCGACCCAATTGTATTCTCTTATGAATGGCTTGAATCTTAGCCCGTTTACTCCTTTAATGGTCCAACTTAAAGTCTAACCCTAGAGTATATATATGGCTATAACCCTAATAACTTTCTTATGATGTATTGTGTGATTTTGAAAGAAGAAAAAAAGAATCTCGGCTGCCCCCTTTTGTATGAGAAAAAAGGTCTCCAGAAGTGTCTCAAACGCTTGTATAACGTGTGCAATTGGTGGTTCTTTCATAGTATACCTTTGTGGTGTCTTCTCCTAACTTTTGTGGCCACAAATCATCATCACTTATTGTCCTACATGGGTAAGATTGAATAGCAACCAAGGTAAATCAATTGGTTGTAGTTTGGAGCCTATTGGACTAGTTGTTGGTTGAGAAAGGTGCATTAGACTAAGTCCGAAAATCATCGATTTGAAGATATTTCAAGAAAGCTTCCGCAACAAAGGCCATAATGGTACTCTTTTACGATGTGTTTTTCTATTATGTGAATGAATCCAATCGTTGTTCTCAATTCAAAGAGGTTCATAATATTCAGTAAGATTAAAGGCTATCGTGCGACAACCCGAACTGATCTAGTGATGGTAACAAGATTGACTCTGCTCTAACGGAAGAGAAATTCCGGTACAAGAAAATGTAGAATTGCAAATCGTGTATTTTAGTTGTTAGATTGATCATTTGAAGTACACATACGTGTCAAATGCCTTTTTCTTACTTAAAAATGGGACATTTTCCTTCTTCCTTTTACCCTTAAAAATCACCAATTGTTGATGGGTGAACAGAACATTAAAATTTAAGAAATGAAAATTTTCATCTCAAATGCTTCATAAACAGCCCATATATATAGACACACACACATACCAAAAAAGTTAAAAAGTGTTGAAACTATGACTGCCAACAGATTTGCAACAATTTTATATAGAAATACCAGCAAGATTACACTCATTCTCATATATGCACTTCTTGAATGGATTTTAATAGTTCTTCTCCTCTTCAATTCTCTTTTTTCCTATCTGATTATCAAATTTGCACAATATTTTGGCCTAAAACCACCTTGCACTTGGTGTACTACACCTGATCATATCTTTGAACCTGCAAAGAACATTCACAGAAAACATTTCTGTGAAATCCATGCCAAGGAGATTTCCAATTTGGGTTTCTGTTCAAATCATCGAAAATTGTCTGAATTTGGTGAAATGTGTGACGATTGCTTGTCTTCAGGGCCAGAATTTACTTTGAAATGTGCCCACAAAAGAAATTTGATTTCGGAGGATGATGATGATCATCATCACATTGAAGAAGGCTGTGATCTTAATAAGAAAATATCAGACTTTGCTACTGATTCATTTAATAAAGCTGATGATCAAGGTAATTTCCGGATCCTTATCTTAGAAATTCTTACCAGCATATTTGGTATACAATATTAGACTAGACTAGACTCAAGAGTACACTAAATGAGATTTTTATTGTTCAATCCATTTTATCGAACAAGCTACAGTTGTTTTTGGTCAAGATCTTGTTTTGTATTAGGTCCTTTACGAGCCGAGATTGAAGAAGACGTGATTCCTAATATGCCCACTTCCGTGGCCAGTCCTCATAACTTGCACGAGAAAAAGGACTACGGGACCGAAGAGTCTTTGGATGGAAGTGTGACTAGTGAGTTGGAAAGTGGGGATGGAATTGTTACAGTCGAACGCCTCAAATCAGTACTAAGAGCTGAACAAAAGGCTTTGCAGACACTATATTCCGAGCTAGAAGCAGAGCGGAGCGCTTCTGCAGTGGCTGCGAATCAAATGATAGCAATGATGGATCAGCTGCAGGAAGAGAAGGCAGCAATGCAAACGTCTGAATATGATCGAGAAGATTTGCAACTTTTAAATGAGCTTGTGGTGGACAGGGAGAAGGCAAAACAAGAACTAGAGAAAGAATTGGAAGGAGTTAGGAAGAAATTGTCGGATTATGAGGATAGTGATGGATTGTCTGTTGATTTGAATCGAGATGCGAAGGAAGAAGAGGGATTCTATAGCAAACAAGAATGCAGCAATTCAAAAATTCGGGTTGATGAAGTTATAGACATGGAAGAATCATTAGCAGACTTTGAGGAAGAAAGGTTGTCCATTCTAGTACAGCTTAAGGTTTTAGAAGAAAAACTTGTGTCGTTGGAACATGAAGAGGAAAGACGTTCTGAAGGTACTACGCCGCTGGAAGATTTACACAAAGAGAATGACATTCGTGTAGATGAAAACACTTGTTATAGCGATGAATCAAACGAGCATCTTCTTCAAGAGATTTTGAAACATCTTCATGATTTACGCGATGTGGAGCTTCTGGAGAGAAATTTGAGTGATGGTGCTAATATGAAGTAACGTGCCTAATCGCACGCTAAGTTTAGACATTCGATCGTGTGATGTACTTGGAACAGTTGATTATGTTTTCTGGTATATTTTTTGTTATTGTTGTTAATTTGTTTGGTGGGGGGTCTTATTTTTGTGGTAATATTGTTGTTAATTTGTTTGGTGGGGGGTCTTATCTTGTGTTCTTCATTTTGTCCTATGAAACCTTTTCTTTTTGTCCATCTCTACCTTTTGAAGGATAGGGAGATGATGTTTTATGTATATATGGCGTAGAGATAAATAGCAGCCATGCTATTAATCATAGCACTATTTTATTAGATATTTATGGTATAGACTGAGTAATCAACAATATTAAAAATGAAAAAATAATCTGCATTTTTATATATGAAAGTAGTATATTGTTCGATATGTTTAGTTTTGTGTACCAAAAGTATCAAAACTCGAGTTTGTATATATTTTTCTTGAGGGGTAGGGATAGGTTTGGGTGAGATACATGCAACATATAGACCAAACTTCAGAATGAAGCAGCAAATTTTTATTCAAACTATACATGAACTGTAAAATTAATTAATTTTTTACTGAGGTGGATTAATCATGGTCTAATAGTTCATTGAAACAGTTAGAATCAATTCTATTGAACTGTCAAGCAATAATTAATTTGAAATATTAATTAATTAATTGTTACTTACCTGGGTTTTAAAATTAGGGAAAATTGCAGCAGAAGCTCCAAACCTTTAAAACACTTGCAGACTTTTTCCAAACTTTTTGATTTGTGGCAGCCGTCACCCCTAACATTTACATACGTTGCAGTAGAGACCCTTTTGGACGGAAATCGTCCAAATACCCGTCAGTTGACCGCCCAAATAAAAAATTGATCAATTTTAACCAAAATAGAGGAGGGTAAAATCGTCCAAACATTTAAAACACCTTTTCATCTTCCTTTTTATATCCACCTAAGGTAGTTGCTATACCAACTCCTTCACCATCCACCACCGTCAGTCCATCAGCCTCAACTCCTACAAGTTCATCACCTTCTAAATCTCCATTGACTTCTCCACCCGCTCCTCCCACTTCTCCTACCGGTGCACCTGTCGGATCTACCGCTAATCCCTCATCAATCGCCGCCGAACCCGGTGGCGCAGCCCCTAACTCATCACCCAACCTTGCTACTTTGAACAAAGTACCGATTGCTGGATCTGCTGCTACAGTGTTGTTCTTTGCTGCTATTTTACTGTGGATCTACTGATCTAGTTCAGAAGTTTTACTTTTCCAATGCAGATGGACATTAGGGTTTCGTTAATTTTCTTGTTATTGTTTAATTATTTATTTTTACCTTTTCTGTACTCTATTGTTTAATAATTCTTTGTTATTTAAGCATTACTTTTGTTTAATTAAATCTGTTGGCTTTTTAATTACATTGTAGAGTTGTTTTATATTTTTCATGTTTAAAATTAATTTCTTTATATTATTGGAAAAATGAAATCATATTTCCACAAAATGTTTTGGATGATTTTAAGTGTTTGAACGATTTTACCCTCCTCTATTTTGGTTAAAAGTGGTCAATTTTTTATTTAGGCGGTCAACTGACGGGTATTTGGATGGTTTCCGTCCAAAAGGGCATCCACTGCAACGTATGTAAAGGTTAGGGATGACGACTGCCACAAATCAAAGGTTTGGGGAGAGTCTGCAAGTGTTTTAAAGGTTTGGAGCTTCTGCTGCAATTTTTCCTTAAAATTATTATGTTTGATTTACTCGAAAGAGATTGTCAAATAAATTAAGAATAATAATCTAACACGAATAAGTATTATCAATTACGTGATTTGGTTGAAATAAAGTGGATGAACCCCAAAGTCCTAGTGCATTAAATTATTATAATTTTCTTTAAGTTCCTTGTAATGACTTTGTGCTCTTGTTTAGATGATTTTAGTTCACAAATTTTTATTACCTTATTACTTATCACAATATTATACATTTGCAATTATCATCAACAGTGGTATTTTTCGATTGGTCATAAATTGATCCCAACCTCAAAAGCCCTCAGAGGTTGGGGTTCAATTATGGTACATATTTGTGCCAACATGTTTAATCTAGTATTTGTACAAATTATATTTCATGATTGGTCACATGGTTATAGACATTGATGTACACATACAATCAAAATTATAATAACGATGCATGTGCTTGTTTACTCTAGGATGAGAAGACAAAAGATCGAGCATCCAAATCGATAATTGAAAAACGCTCAAGAGTGAACCAAGGAGGCTAGTATAAATTTGTATTGGCGGAGAATCCATTGATGAAGATATTGATGAATATTAGAAAGCATTATCGTTATCCCCTCCAACTATAGACTCCTATTTAGTTAACTAAATTAGGTTCTTATTTATTTTGTATATATCATAACTGTATTTTGTGTATAAATACACTACGAATGTATTCAATAAAATACAACAGAGAATTTCCTTTTCATGGTATCAGAGCCAAACGGTTCACACCTTTTTCATGGCTGATTCTATCTCTTCTCTGCTTCCGCTCAATACGATGGTCCATATGGTGACCATCAAACTCACTTCCTCCAATTTTCTTTTGTGGCGCAGTCGGTTTATTCCCCTTCTTGAAAGCCAGGATCTCATGGGCTTCTTAGACAGATCATCCGTTGCTCCTTCTCCTCTCATTGCGGAAGGAACTGCTCGGGTTCCAAATCCAACCTACAAGAAATGGCGTACTCAGGATCCTATGTTGCTCAGCCTCATTTATACTTCCTTGTCTGAGAAGTGTATGGCCGAGGTTGTCAATTGTGCTACTACCTGTGATGCTTGGTCGACTCTCGAAACATCGTTTTCTCATAACTCCAAGACACATGAAATTCAGCTGAAAGACGAACTTCAATTGCTCGCTCTTTTCGCTCTCTCTGTGACCAACTCTTCGCCATTGGGAAGTCCGTTGACGATACAGACAAGGTGCATTGGTTTCTTTGTGGTCTTGGCCCTGATTATAAAATTTTTTCCACCACTATGCTATCACAATGTCCACCGCCTTCCTTCGCCACTATGGTCCCGTAAGCTCTTAGCCATGAGCTTTTCTCTCGATCCATCCATGGTGAAGTCCAACAACAATCTGCTTTCATTGCCAACCACGGCTCCTCCATTATTTCTGCTGCCCGAAACAAACATCACTCCTCTTCCAAAATGGACAGTCGCAACTCTTCCAAATCTGCTGTTATTACTTGCCAGGGGTGTGGCAAAGATAATCACATAGCCAAGAAGTGTTACAAACTTGGTAAGTTGCTGAAAAAGGCTAAAGATGGTGGTCTCATTGAAGCTTTTTCAGCAACCTCTCTTGCACACTCTCATGACACCGAATGGTACACGGATACAGGGGCGACTTCGTATATGACTAATGATGCATCGACTCTTGACTCCTCCATTCCTTACAATGGTAATGAAAGGGTGTTTGTTGGTAATGGTCATTCTTTACCTATATCTCGTGTTGGTTCTATTTCGTCTATTGTTGCTTCCCATTCGTTACCTATGTCTAATGTTCTTCTTGTTCCTAGCATTACCAAAAATCTTATTTCCATTAGTAAGCTTACTAAAGAGAACAATTGTTCAATAACATGTTCTTCTTCTGGCTCTGTCACATAGGATATGGCAACAAGAGCGGTGATGGGAGTTGGCCGATGTGAGAAAGGCCTCTATTTACTTGATTGTGCCCATGCAAATTTTTTTGTCTTCTGTTGCTCTTTGTAATAATCGGGCTACCTCCATCGTTTGGCATGCACGTTTAGGACATCCTTCTATCAGGGTTTTGTCTTCTTTACATAAGCATGGTGCTATTTTATTTTCCAAAAAGAACAATTTTAATAATGATCCTTGTTTTTGTTGTCAATTGGGAAAGAATCATCACTTATCTTTTTCTAATTTATTTCAACCTTGCTCTTTTTTATTTGAAAGAATTCACTGTGACTTGTAGGGACCGTCTCCAATTACCTCTCCATCGGGATATAAATATTATTGTGTCTTGATTGATGATTTCTTTCGTTTTAGTTGGATTTTTCCTCTCAAGCTCAAATCAGATTTTTTTGATATTTTTGTCCGTTTTGTCACTTATGTCAAAAATCAATTTGATCGGAACATAAAATCATTCCAATGTGACGGTGGAACTGAGTTCACTAATAATAAATTCACTTCTTATCTTCATGAGCGTGGTATAATTCAACGAATATCCTGTCCTTACACTCCAAACCAAAATGGCATTACCGAGCGTAAACATAGGCATATCACCGAAACCGGACTAACCTTGCTCTTTCATTCTAATGTTCCTTTACAATTGTGGTTAAGTCTTTCTCTACAGCTTGTTATCTCATCAATCAGCTTCCATCACCTGTTCTTGGTGGCAAGACACCTCATGAAGTATTGTACGGTAAGGTTCCTTCTTATTCTTCTCTCCAAACCTTTGGATGTTTATGTTTTCCTTTTCTTCGTGACTATAAGCCTCACAAACTCTCTCCACGATCTCTTCCTTGTGTATTTTTAGGCTATAGTTCACTTCATAAAGGTTTTCGTTGTTTAGATACAAAATCTAACCGTGTTTATATCTCTCGTCATTTGCAGTTTTTTGAGGATCATTTTTCCTTACAAAAACTCTACTCTTCCTTCCCAGGTCTCCACTGATTTTGTCACCTTTTTGGATCCTATTGATCCTTCTTTATCTTGTGAACACGTTGATCCTACAGATATGGCTTCGAAGCATCACAAGGCATCTTCTCGGTGTCTCCCATGTGCTGACCATAATTGCACTTTTCATTCTCTTTTTGAGTATGTGCCTCCTTCAGCAACATCTGATGCTCCTCCATCCAAGCTTGTGACTATTTCAAGTGTTAATCCACCCACTTCTTGATCCTACAGATATGGCTTCGAAGCATCACAAGGCATCTTCTCGGTGTCTCCCATGTGCTGACCATAATTGCACTTTTCATTCTCTTTTTGAGTATGTGCCTCCTTCAGCAACATCTGATGCTCCTCCATCCAAGCTTGTGACTATTTCAAGTGTTAATCCACCCACTTCTTGCTTTTCACGACCGCTACCAATCCCACATCCTATGATTACTCGTTTAAGGAATGGTATTGTTAAGCCTTGTACTATTCATTCGTTAATTGCTTTTTCAGCTCCTCCATGGTTTCAGGTGCATCTTGCTGTTATAGAGCCAAGAGATTTTAAGTCAGCCTTAAAACATCAGGAATGGCTTACTGCAATG